CCTCATGGCTTCCAACCCAATCATTCTAAATATTATAGTTTCTTTTTTCTTAGCCTGTTACAATCCCTTTATTCCATTCATGTTAATCTATATTTGCTAAGCTATTCGACTGCATCGTTAATCAAAATAAACATTAAATTTGTTAGTTTTTATTATAAAGTATTAAAAGAATATGACTTAGAAATTAATATTAAAATATAAGTAAACTATATCCCTAACTTTAAAAAGAGAGAAAACATAATGAAAAAGAAATTAATCTGTTATCTCTTACTACTAGAAATAATTAGCTCTAATCTACGCACACAGATCCAAATGATTGTTATCAAGCAATGGAGCTTGTACTGGTTATTTATCCAGATATTAATTGAGGGTTCGTTTCTTCAGGTGTTCATACACTATGTCAACGAACATGGGCATCTTATATAATGCTTAGTTAAATTTTTAAAAATTTGATGGATTTGTTAACTATAGAAGGATTTAGGGAGCTAATGCAAAGTCAAATCTAGTATGAGCTCCTCAAATTACTTGTTCAATTAATGTTAATATACGTGTAACACATATTAAATAAGTATAAATTATTGTTTAGTGTGGCAGACAACTTATAAATCGAATACTGTTTCATCAATAATACAATTTATCAAATAAAATCTTCATACATTTTTCCAGCTACTTTTTATGTGAATGTACCTTTTACAATTAAACCCTTGTTTATATTTTCCTTCAGAATTGTAAGTTACATTCATTTTGTAAACAGTTGTTTATTACGATTATTGTATTAATCTTGCTAAAATATGAACTTTATGAGCTGGATATTTTTTGGATTGAATTATAATGTTTACCATGTAGTGAATATGAAAACAATTCTAATAATTGTTTTGATTGTGCATAACATATATAATGAGCAATTCAGTCCCGAACACACATTTATGTCCCTTCTAATCTATTAAAGTTTAATAGTATTATTAAATAAGCTGTATTATATTTCGTTTATAATTATTTTAATATAACTAATAATTTCATAAATGATTAATGTTGTAATGTTATTTAAATTAAATTAGTTATGCTTAACCATATGATACATGTTTAGGAACATCAACACATAGTTTCCCAGACACAGATACTCCCTTAACTATCAATACTTCTTTTTTAATATTTTTGCAATTCTAGTTATTTTAAGCTAATAATTGTCATGGCAGAGTTGTTAAAGTCTTATAAATTTGTCCAGGTAATAATAGTTACTGTGATACTTGTACTGATTCAAATCATTAATTTCAATGCATCTTTAAGGATTAATTTTATTCAAAT